AGGACATTTACAAAATATCTTCATGGAACATGATCTTTACTTAATATCCTAATGATTTTTGGCATAAAAGAGAAATGTATAATTTTGACCCATACAATGTATTGTTGGCTATTGCTGCAAATATACCCCAGCGACTTAACACTGCTTTTGTGCTCCAGGCTCACATATAAAGAGCTATATAGACATATTAAATAAATACATATATATAACTCTGGGGTGATTTTGAGTATTTGACTGATAACCATCAGATCAGTCATGTTTCTATATGCTGCGTTATCCGTATTAATCTCGAAAGTACCTTAAAATCCTTAAAACAAAATCACTTCAGAAGTATTCTTTAATAATAATAAAAATAATTTTATTTTTTTTATGCCACTTTTTTTTTTTTTTTGAAGAATAGATTAACAAAACTAAACCCAAGAGAAATAAGCTTAATTCCAGATATAGACTATAAAATATTCTCTTTACATGATTTGGGTTCTCAAGTAAATTAACCTCATTTTAAATGTGTAGTTCAGATATTTTACTGGAAAACTAAAATTAGAAATCAAAATAAAAAATGTTCCTTGAAATTAAAGGTTACGTGAGAAAAAAAAAGGATTTTATTTCAACTAGTTGACATGTCATATTTCTTATTTTTTTATAGTTTAATTTTAAGTTTAAATTCATTTTAAATATATATAATTTAATAATTTTATATTAAAACTAACAACAACAAAAAACCAACAGAATTACCAAAAATTGTACAATTCAAATGAAAATGCAAAATATAAAAATGATTTTATTAAAACTTACTTTATTTCAGCTAGTTGCCAAGGCATCATTCTCATTTTTATAATAATTTAATACGTTTTCTACTAAAATTGATTAGGGAACTAATAAAAATTACCAAAACAAAACAGACTTTCTTTAAATTTCAAGATATTTTTAAGATATTAACTCTTTCCCCGCCAGTGTTTTTGATCATTTTCACTAAAATGTCATGGCCCTGAGAATATTTTGTTGTATGAATATCTGATCATGCAATACATCAAAATAAAGACCAGACCCTCTACTTTCACACAAAAATAAGCATTGTTTTTTATCAACACTTGAATGTAGGTAGGTTTAATAAAAAAAGCAACATTTTGAGCAAAAAGCAGAGAAAATCTCATTTTTATCAAACACTGCATCTGGATCATATTCAGTAATATTATCAAAGCAAAGCTGCAGTAGATGTCATCCATCAGCGCTCCCAAAGCTTGCACACTTTCTGGATCCACATTGCACTCGCTAGCATCAGGCAGTTTTCATTTATACGCGGTTAGTGTTGATGATCGCATTATTTTTCATATGCTTACATATGAGATCGCTGGTTTCTGCGTCTTCCTGGCCTGTGTTTTTGATCGGCACTTTATACACTCATTCAGGAGATGCGTGATAGCGCCCCCTAGCGTTTAACAGTGAGAACACAGAACATTGCGTGTTTGGCGAGGAAAGAGTTAATAAGCCTATAATAGTGTGTCAGTGATGCTAAATGACACTGGCTTGTGGTGTGTGTGTATCTGCGCACCCTTCTGCACTTTGTCACACAACAGGAAGATCTCGTCTCCACACACACCTTTCTGCACTTTGTCACACAACAGGAAGATCTCGTCTCCTCCGCGGCAGCTGCCGGAGCTCCTGTTGACGCGGCAGATCTTGAGCTCGGCTGTGTTAGGAGCTCCTGAGGAGAGAGGGAGGGTCAGAGCGGTCAGGCTCGGTGTGTTAGCGGTCGGACGCGTGCGCGGCGAGACACTCACGGTTATCATAGATGGGCTGAGACACGACGGGCTCCAGAGGGAACAGCTCTCCGCTGGGCAGCGTGATGGACACCTGGAAGCACAGGCGCACCGCGTTCAGATCGTACTCCTCCTCCCAGATCCTGGGCTCCAGGACTGCACACACACACACACACACACACACACACACACTCCAGCTGTTCTTCATCAGCTTACATCACACTGATCAGGGTTTGTGTGTTTCAGCTCAGTTTTTCTCCTACTGTAACCGAGATTCATTTTCATGCCGCAATGACAAAACATGATTATACAGATGCTTAATTATAAATGTGACCCTGCAGCACAAAAGCAGTGTTAAGTCGCTGGGGTATATTTGTAGCAATAGCCAACAATACATTGTATGGCTCAAAATTATACATTTTTCTTTTATGCCAAAAATCATTAGGATATTAAGTAAAGATCATGTTCCATGAAGATATTTTGTACATTTCCTACCGTAAATATATCAAAACGTAATTTTTGATTAGTAATATGCATTGCTAAGAACTTCATTTGGACAACTTTAAAGATGATTTTCTCAATATTTTGATTTTTTGACACCCTCAGATTCCAGATTTTCAGATAGTTGTATCTCGGCCAAATATT